CGGGCGGGTCGCCGAGCGTGCCTACCACCGTGCCCGCTGCCTCCAGCACTCCTGTCTCCATGCCAAACGCCCTGCCCGCGCTGGGCCCTCCCCAGGCGCAGGGGCCCCAGGGGGGCGCGCCCGTGGGGGGCTTGGTCATGCCCGGGCCGGGAGGGGCCGTCCTGCCGCAGGGCTTCGGCCAGTTCCCGGCCCAGACCGCGGTCGGCCAGGCGGAAGGTAACCGAAGGAAGTCCGATGCCCTACCTCAGCCTCTCGCCACCTCCGGGAAGGATCCGGCGAGGCCCCTGGCCACAGAGCCCCTGCAGCTGCCCGCCGCCACCCCAGTGAACAACCTGACCCCCACCGTGTTTGGCATCCCTATTCCCATTGACGGGGATGAAGACAGGTACGAGCTGTGGCACGCCTTATACACCTTCTGCAGTGCATGGTCACCGAAGGGTTCGTACGGCTCATACAGCCCTCCAGTGTGCTGCTTTCAGAAGTAACGCTGCACGTTCTGTCGGCACAACCTGCTGAAGTGTGATGTGACTGCAGTCACCTTTTTTTTTTAAAAGTCCTCCAGTGGTGTTGGAATCGGGGAAAATCTACAGTTGTTTTTCAGTTTTACAAGAGACCTTTGAGGTGTTGTCCTGCTCTCGCTGCTTGAAGGAAGCCGGTGGTGGGGGGCGGGGGGGCGGGGGGGCCGGAGGTGTCATCAAGCTGTCGGGTCTGAGCTGTGATGTCGCAGGCTGAGCAAGAGCGGAGCAGTGCGGCCAGTTGGGAGAGGAATGCAGTCATAAGGGAAATGTGGGCCGGACAGCACTTGCACCACATTTTCACTGATTTGACATGTTGGTGCCTAGCGTTGGAGCTTAAAGCGTGGTCAGAAATACTGCTTTTATTTCAGCTCGGCTGAATGCTCGAGTCTGGCTTTTTGGAAGTAAAGCAGTACTTGTATTTACCTGGCTACCGATGTGCTGCAGTGAAGCGCTGATGCAAAGTTAAAATGGGCACGCTTTTGAGAAGGGCCGCGTCAGGCAGAATCCAGGAAGAGTGTCTATGCTTTACGAATTCCCTTGATTGTATAATTTATCGTTATTTATGAACGTGGCTCGTCACTGACCGTATGGTCCCTCGCTGCGTGGCTCTCCGATTGACTCGGGAAGCACAGCGTGAAAGCGGAGGCACAGATCGATTTCCGTTAGACACCTGAATTGACTCACTTTGGGTCTTTCTGAATAAAATAATATTTTTGGTTGTGTAGAAGAACGTAACAACTCTCTGTTGCCGGACACGGGCTGGGAGAAGGAATGCAGCCAAGTAGTGCTGGCAAGTCAAAAATAAATATAGTGCTTTTGGTGTTTTTCATTAATGTATCAATCTGCTGGAGGAGAATGAGCTGCGTGCCCCTCCCCTCTAAGTTTCTGTAGCCTTCTGGAGCAAACAGCAGTGTTTTATATCCAGATTTCCAATTAGCTCTTGAATAATTTAGAACAAGGCAGCAGCAGTAAGCAATTTGCTGTTCAGTTGAGTCATTTTAGGTCACAGGCCCTTTTTTTGTTTTTTAGATTACAACTCATGCTTGTGATTATAACACCTTCCTTTATTGTGAAATGGGCATTTAATAGAAGGGTCATTTTTTAACTCCTCATGAAGCGTCAGCCCTAAGCTGTAGCAGGCCTTGGATCTTTTCCAGACTTCTGCTTAATGGATGTTACAGCCCATTCTTCAGAAAGGATTTTGCAGTGCTAATAAAACTGAATTTGAGTTGGATCTTGTGAGATAAATATTTTCTTGCATGGTGTTCAAAGAATGGATTAATTTAGTTTTCTGTCTCGGGTCATTTCACGACTTAAGCCAAACTCCATAAATGCTTGCTGTCGTTTAACGCCTGAGAGCTGTTGGGCAGTAATATTCTGGACACAATACTTTAATCCGTGCGGGAAACGTTTGCTTTGTTTTTTAAGGCACTCGTTTACTTTTTTATCATCCTATAATAAAAAAAAAGAGTGGGATCTTAAGATGAAGTCAACACGGAGCGCGCCCTTGACGTTTGACAGGAAAGAAAATGTTTTGAAATGAATGCGGCGAAATTTCCTAAATTTCTCTGCTGTCCAAATGTTGTGAAAGTGATTTTCCTACGTGTGAATAGTTGTACAAAGTTGAGTGCTAAGGAGATATTGGCGGCCTTTTACAAGACTGTTGCCTGATCACTAATAATCATTTGCTCATGAACACAAGTCTATAACGAAATGAGCAAAACAAACCATACTTTGTGTAGGTGTATCACTGTATGTTAGATAACTGGTCCATGCTAGTTAGATGTTTGGTGTGCAATAATGAAGCGATGAGGCCCGGTCATAAGCCTATTCTTTATTCTTGTGAACTGTTAACGTAGTTTTTTTTTTGTGATGGATTAATTTTTTATAACTGTTTTCGTGCTGCTGAGTCTGTCAGCTGTTTGAGTTGTTTATAACAGGGCCTTTTGGAATGCCTGGGTTTTGTAGGATAGCTTATGCCCAATTGCAGTCAACATTGGTGCAAAGCTTCGTATGTGCTTATGATCTGTGCTCTTGCATGCTGTGACTTCTTTTGGTTGACAGTTGTTGATGGCCTCCTGTAATCTCTGAAATCATCTTTAGGTAAAACAGTCTAGTTTACCTCAGCCTCTAGCTGGCAAAATCTGCCCCCCCCCCATCCTGAAGAGTAAAGAAGGAACTGCTGTTGAGTAGCTTCTCGGAGCTCTGCGGTGGTGGTGAGGATGGATTTGGCCAGATCCCTGCTGTGTCCCGTGGGTTTAGACATAAGCACTCAGACGGATGAACAGTTGGCGTCCGTTGTGGCAGAAGCAGTGCAAAGCCACTGCTGGCCTGATAGGGAGATTTTGTTTTTTAGGTTTCGGTTCCTGCAGTGGATGTTACTCACCCCGGTAGCCAAGGTCTACCTTAGGAGGGGAAATTAGGCTTTACATTTACAGCCTTATCCGATTGGATTTCCCGTCTTGTTTTCAGCCCTTTAATTCAGGCGAACTGATGGCTGTTCTTCGTTGGTAAAGGCTTAGCAGTGTGAGCAGCAGTCTGGGGTGCTGAGGGATTTCCCTCTTCAGACTGGGAGGTTGGCCGTTGCTGCCCTGGTAACCCACCGGACTTTTTCGGCTGGCGTCCGCGGTGGCGGTCAGGCCTTGAGAAGGGAAAACCTGTCGCTTCTGGGAGGAAAGTCCGAGGAGCCTGGGGAAGGGCGCCGGTGTCCCCTGGCTCCGGAAGTGAGGAGGAGAGGCTGTTTGTTCCGTCAGCTGAGCTGCGCGCGGGGGGGGGTGTGATAAGGGGCGGGCGTGTTTCGCCGCGTGACGTGGCGCTTGCGTGCGCTGGGGTGGTCGCGACAATGGACACGGCACCCCTCGTTCGCCGCTCGTGGGGGGACGGCAGCTCGTCCCGCTGATAGGCAGAAATCTCCTATCGGGAGCCGGGCAGGAGTCCCGCTCCCGCGCTTGATGCGAGCTGATAAGGGCCAGCCTGCTGCTTCTCGGAAGCCGCTCGGGTCCCTGAGGCTCCCGCCTTTGTCGGTGCGGCTTTGTTTTCTGCTCGTTTTGGTTTAGGGATGAAGCGCGGAGGTCTTTCTCGTGCCCTGGGGTACTGGCGTCGATTGGGATCGTAGTCGTTTTTTGCTTCGAAGAGTCGAACGGTGGTAGAAAATTGTGTGGCGGAGCCTCCTGACATTCCAAAAGGACCCGTCTTCTTCGTCAGCTAAAAGTATTTTCTGAACTTGTCCGAGCTCTGTTGAAAATGAGCATCTTAGATGAATGACCTGGAGCCATTCTAAATACATTTTTGCACATTCAGTCTGTTTAGAGTGAATTAATAATAGGTACCTGCAATATTGGTAAAGGATATTTTTGGTCACCACAGTTATGCCCTCTGTGTGATTTATAGTAGTCCTAACACTGGGATGTTTATGGCCGGACTTGATTTTACCACGCAGTTTTAACCACGACATCAGTGAATAGCCTCGCAGAGACACACACTACTCTGCAGTCTTTTGTGCTGAAATATGCTACGGAATTAAGATTTAACAGTGGAGGCTGTGATTCACCCACTATTGGAAGAGCTGTAATAAATAAACATGGCAAAACGCAAATGAGTTTCAGGAGGTTTGGGGTTGTGGACTGTTGAGATCCAGTGCACAGGAGATCGCTGGTGATCAAGGGAAGAAAAGCCTGTTTGTTTTAGAAGGTGGTGCAAGATTTTCTCCAGAGGAGAGCTAGCTTGCACAGTCTGGGTTAAATCTCCCCTTGGCTGGTGGGACAGAGAAAGGAGGAGCCTTTTTCCAAGCTTATTGGACGGGAGACAAGAGAGCAGCTCATTTTCCAGAGATAGCTGACCAGCGTGAACTCCCAGGGCAGCATACCAGAGCCTCCATGAATGGCTCAGATTGTCAGATGTTCCCTGCGGCCAGCCCAACACCCCCTTCCCTGATCAAGGGGAACCTTGACTCCGAGCGTCTCTTCCGTTTAGGTGATGAGCTGGATCAGGCAGCTGTTAATTGTTGTTATTATTAAGAAAAAGTGCAGTACCCAGACTTGTTCAGTACTTAAGTTCAAATCCTTTTCTTTTAGTGGGGGTTTTACAATAAATGAAAGAACCTCAGTACTTAAGGAAAGATCCCGTCGGTCTTTTATGAAATTCACAGAAGCGGGTAAATAGTTCAAACCACAATTCTCTTCTAAAATGTCACAGTATCCAATTTGAGAGAGAGAGAGAGAGAGGTCTGTTTGTAATTGGACTTCAGGCTCTCTTAGTGACTATACATGTGTATTTATTCTCAGATGTTGTATTCACACTTATTTGCCTCTTTGAGCACATTTACTGACCGTGGAAATGACTTTGTTTGAAATTCGTTAGGCAGAGCATCCCAAGGGCATTCGCTTGAGAACTTCAGCCAAATGCCCTTTTGCTGAAATAAGTTTCCTTTAATTCAGAAATGTGTGATCTGATGAGTCTCGGGCTTTTATCTGCGAGTGCTTGAGACACCTCTCCAGCTGGAGTGCTGCTGTGTGTTTGGCGTTTTTTTTTTTAAACTACCAGGACTCATGAAGCAGGAGGAAGCGATCTTGATACCTTTCCCTCAAATGTGAATGATTCGCAGCAGCAGTGGTTGTTGCAATTTAGCAGTAGCCTTGAATCCAGGAGAGGGCCTGCGTGGCCTCTGGTCATTCGTAACCTGCCTTGCTTATTTGGGTGCTTGTAGTGTCCTTAATCCCAAAACCCCCGTGAGCTTCTCCTGCCAGGATCCCCAAGGATGAACTTCCACGGCGTGGGCTGTGCCGTTCCGCGCCATCCCTGCCTGCTCTTGTTCTTTTCTTCTTTTGCATGAATGCCTCTTTTGCTCGTTCTTGTCTTCTTCTTTTGC